GCCGCCCGCGCAGCCCGGCCGCTGGAAGGCCGGCCCCAGGGAGCGGGCGGGCCAGGCGCGCTGAGATCGGAGGCGCAGGACTCTCAGCCCCATACGCAGCCTCCAACCCCGGTCCTGCCTGCTTCGGCTCCCCCACGGTCCCTGGCCCTTGCTTCCCTCGTGGTCTCAGTTGCTGTCTACCCCACTGCCTCATCCTGGCTCACGGTGACGCCTTGATGTGCCCTTGATTATTGGGGGTGTTCACTTATCCGCACACCCAGAGTTTCACGGGCCCTCCGTTGTGGAAGTGCCCCCTACGCTTTACACCAAGTCCCTTTGCCCAAAGACCACAAAGCGCCCTCCCAGAACACCCTCTTGAGTGAAGGGGGGAGAAGTTTTCGGAAATCTAGGAAGGTGGGTTTGGACCCTGGCCGGGGTGGAGGCAGTGGCCCTGCCTTTCCTCCTTCAGCCGTCCTGATAAGAAACCCTGGAGAGGCATTCTTACAGGGGAGAAATCTGGCGTCCTGGGAGAATTGAGGCCAGGCCCATGGTGGGCACCGAGTCTGCTGTCGTACACACAGGGAAGAATTCTCAGGCCCTATGCCCAGCTGCTCTACCCCTTGCAGGACTCCTGGGACTTCACTGCTCGGCCTCTGGAGGAGACTGCGATGGTTCCCACCAACGTTCAAACAACAGGTTAGGCCAGGTAACGGCTCTGCACCAGGCAGCTGCCCAAGCTTCTGCCCTGGCATCCCCACAGGATTCCTCACCCACCCCATGTCTCTGCAGACACATGTGTGTAGTCCCCCACTAGGTGCCCCACAACCAGGACCAAGATGAGGCCTCCAAAGGAGGTAAGGAGAAACTTTGGCAGGTGCTTGGGGACACTGACTACCGAGAAAGTGGACACAGCAGAGATGCCCCCAAGTCAAGGCTCATCAGAGCAGGTGGGTCCCAACAGCAGCTGGATTCTCAAGCGTGATGAGGAAGGAGGGTGTGTTAACCCAACCCAGGGGATGGGCCGCTGCCCAGGTATCTCCATAAGGCCACGAGAAGCCCAAAGATCTGTGTATCACAACATGATCATTGTAAATAAAGTGGACCTGTTTTTTCAGCCCTGTTACCACTCCTGTGTTATGTTTGATGCCAGGCCTTGGGGTGATGCCCTGCTGGGGGTGAAAAGATTACCATCAGACCCCCGAAGGGCAGGAAGACCCCAGGAAGTGGTCCCTTTTAGCAGCTTGAGCCAGCTCCTAGGATTGGGAGGGAGGTGTGGGTTGCTGCCAGGAAGCTGTTACTGTAATGTCAGGGGAGGAGACAGTAACATATGCCTCTTCTGGAAATCACGTGTGCTAAGCCCTAGAGGGGTGTCACTGTCTGTCTCAGCCTCCCGGAATGTCTGTACACCTGGGCACTCAGACGCAAGTGTCTGGGAGGGGGCACTGAGCTGGGGGCTTCTCACGGAACCCGTGTTTCTTTTGGAAGGTTCATGAGTATGTTGCGCATGTGGTATAGCCTATGTATGTCCCCTTGGGATGAAAGGAGAGCAGGTTATAAGGGAGAGGGTAAGCAGCCTGATTTCTTTCAAAGGAGCTGGAGACGTTTGTCTAGATCCTTGTGACAGCGTGAGTCTTGAGCTCCGATATCTTCTTTATTCCTGTACCGAGCTGGGCACTCATCCCACAGTTGCCTGGAGCCCAAACAAGTGGCCTCTGCCACCGCCAGCCATCAGAACGGCTGTTTCCTAGAGCTGCCAGGAAAGAGAGCACCCCTGCCACTTCACCCTGGCAGAACCCATGCAGGGTCAGAGGGCTTCAGAGGGGATAGCTGGGCTTGACTCCGCATGTCGGCGGTGACAAGGACCCACCGGGCTAGGGTGCCCTGCATGTTCATTGTTTCTGTCTTTCACACTGCCAGGGCTTTTGTGGGTGTTTCTCCCCATTTGCAGAAGGAGAAGAGGAAATGGGAAGGTGGCAGACCTGGGAGAGGACGACATGCTGCAGAGCCCCTGGAGTTGGCTGAGGCAACCTCACCCAGAAACAGGGTCAAAAGCAGATTCACATGGCAGATACTTAGCAATTGCCTTGCCGCAGGCACTGTACTAGTCATTGGGGGTCCAGGAGACCCTCTCTTGAGGCTCTTACATTCTCAAGTGAGATGAATATAATTAAAGGAGCACTTACTACGTAGTAATTCACAGGCCTGCTCGAGCCTCAGCCCCTGTTTCTCCACTTTTCTCCTCCAGCAGCCTCCCCCCCACACACAGCCCCCTCCTTCCTCACTCACGCTCTGCTCTCTAGACCTGGAATTAGAAGGCCTGGGTGAGAGGCCTCTTTGCCTCCTTCCCAGCTGTGTGACATCAGGTCACTCACTTGGCCTCCCTGAGCCTCAACCTTTAACAGTGGTAAAATGGGGATAATAGCTCCTCTTACAACCTCAAAGGCTAGTTGTAAGAATTAAGTAGAATCATGTCTGTAGAAATGCTTTGGTAAATAATAAAATGCCCAGCACATGTGAAGGACAACCATTTTACCTATAGAGCCCCTCTCTTTAGGACTTTAGTGTGCCTTCCCCCATGCACCCCAACTCCTCTCTCCCTGGTGACAGTGGTTGTAAGTTGTTTCACTGGCCACATCTTCATTTTCAATGCGTTTGATGAGTTGAGGGTAAGACAAGCCACAGGCAAACCAGCACAGCTCCAGCCACCACCAGGTGCAGAGTCAGGTGTTTGGGGCTGCTCCAGCCACCAGGCTCAGGGGACATTGCTACCTGGGGGGGGGGGGCATGTCCTGGAGAACCACACCCACCTCCATCTATGAACGTACTTCTGATCTTAGGCACAAAAGAAAAGAGCCCAGAACCAGTGGTCAGGCATTCTGGTGCCCTGTGTCTCATCTGGCTTCAGATTCTTTACCTGTAAAATGAGAATGGGAGGGGGGTGGACTGGTGGTTTTCAAACCAGGTTCCTCGAGCCCTAGATTTTCCAGGGGTGCCCCAAGAGCTGCTGTGGAGGTGATGGGGAGATGGAGTGGAGAGGACCCCACCCTGCTTTACCTAGAGCAGTGTGTATTTTCTGTTTGGGATTTCTGTGATCCTATTTGAATAATGGGATTCTACAGTTTGTTATTAAGTTTATATCACTGGATGAAATGCTCACTAAACCTCCCTTCCAGCCCTGATGCTCTAAGGCCTGTTGGGCTGACTGGGTCTTAGAAGTGTTGTTGGGCGTGTAAGGGATGCTTAGACATGGCCGTGAAGGGCTTTTCAAGAACAACAGGCAGCCAAACCATGCGGGAAGTGCGCCCCCACTGAGGCCTGCAACTCAGGGGTCAAGACTCTTCCTGGGACCTCTGGGGCCTAGCCTCATCTCTCCTGCTCCCACTCCAGAGGCGCTAGGCTGTGACTAATGTGACATGGGCCACAGCACACAAAATAAAGCCACTGCCAATGCCATCCTGGCTCCCCGCTGCTCATCTTCCACACGGCAACCCTACCATGCAGAACTGCTCCCTGTTCCCCAGACTTAGCCATGCGTTCCCAGCTCAGGCCTTGCCTTATGCTGTTCCTGCTACCCGGAATGCTTTTCCCTTTGGCTACACATTTTCAAATCCTACCCTTTCTTCCAGGCCCAGCTCCAATTTCACCTCTTCAAAACTTTTCCTTACGCACACCCTTCCTCCACTCCTGCCAAATCTGGGGGTGATCTCTCTTCTCAGACTCACACAGGACTTGGTTTGTGCTTTTCTCATGGTCTTCAATCCTGTTCTGCCTTGGATTACTCTTCTCATGTTAATGTCTTATCTCTCGTATTGATCCATTTTCATTTCTCTACCTCCTTCCACAGTGCTTGTCCATGGCAAGGCAGAGAGTTGATGCTCAGTAATAATTTGTTGAATGAATACAGGAATGAATGAGCCAGATGGAGGGGCCATCATGGGACAGGAAACCAAGTGGGTGGAGAAGCGTTCCCTCTGCCAAGCTTCTGCCTGGAGATGCTGAGGGAGAGCTGTCCTCAGACGCTCTTTTCAGATGGGTGGCTATTCTTGGGGAGAAGACCAGCAGTCAAAGAGATGAGACCAGGGGAGGAAACTGAAGCCTCTGACCCCAGGGTCTGCCCCAAGTGCTAAAGCCCCAGAACTGGGTCCTCTCACTCTCCAGGCTCATTCAGCCCTCAACTCAGAGCTAATACCCAAAATACAGAGCAGCTCCTGGCCGGGTGGTGACCAGCCACCCTGCAGACACACCAGCTGGGATTTGCAGCCTCTTGGTGGGGGGTGGGAGGATCATCTGGACAGATGCAGTCTCTAACACACAGACAGTCGGACATGGACTTTGGCATCAGACAGACTTGAATGCCAGTCCCAGCACTGCCACTTGATGGCTGTATAACTTCATGCACGTCCAAAAACCTGTATTTTTACAGGTTCTCCATCTGTAAAAATAGGGATAGGTGAGTCTACATCTTATATGGGTGTTGGGAGAATGGTGTAAATTTGGATAATTTGTTTAGTACAGTGTCCAGTGCATGCAGTAAGTGGTAGCTGCTGCTCGTCTGTTTATTATTATCATTTTGCCTGGAGCTCTCCTGATGGGCAAATCTGGAATGAGGAGATCAGGTGCCTGGTCTTTGAGACACTAAATACGTTGTCTGTTCATGCCCTTGGGTGGCTACCCACCTAAAGTCTCATTTATTTCTAAACCATGGTAGAAGATTCAACTACAGACTTGCCATATTAACATGTCTCTATTTGTTCAACCTACATAAGCCGATCACCTTAACACAGGTCAGATCCAACAGCTATACTTGTTCTTTTTCACCTTATCACGGAGCACAGTGTCCGATACACAGTAAACACTCAGAGGTGAGTGAATGAAAGATTGAGTGAAGGAGTAGCTGCTGGCAGAGTGTACACACAAACCTTCCCAGCGAAGGCCTGCAGATAACTGGGACGCCATTCCTTTGTGAGCAATGGCTCAGCTTCCCTTCCTCGTCCCTGTTTGTCCTTAACCACAGGTTAAAGAAGAGAGGAAGATGCTGCCAGCTGAGCTAAAGGTAAAAAGGACTGAGGGGGCAGCATGCAGAGCAAGTCTCTGAGCCAGAACTGTCCTCTCTCACCCTTTGCTCCACTCCTGCCTGTCCTCAGAGCACGTATGGTTTGTGAGCTGATCACAGTCACTGAACTGCCCCTTCACAGGTGGAAGAAGGTTGGATGGGCAAGAACCAGAGGAAGCTGGAGTCCAGGCCATTGTAAGGGAGACCTTAGCTGGGACGATCAGGCCCATTTTGCTGCAAGCTGGGAACTCTTGACAAAAAAGACCGAAGGAGTTGGGCTGTTCTGGAAAGCTTAGGTGGACGGTTGTTTTTGTCTGCACAGCATCCATCTATTCCTCCCTTATAATGCAGACGGCTTCGTCTTCCTCCTGGGCACACACGACACTCTATCTCCAGTCTCCCCTCTATTTAGTGTGGTCATGTGATTGAGCTCTGTCCAACAGAATTGATGTGTGCCACTCTCAGGCCTGGATCATAAAAAACATGACCTTAACTTTATTTTCCTGCCTGCGTGCTAGATCTCATCACCTAGGGTGTCCTTGGAGCTACACGTTGAAGATGACAGAGCCTGCACCAGCCTGGGTCCCTGAATGATTACGTGAAGTAGAGTCCTGCCCTTGCCCCCAGTGGGAGCAGAAATAGTTTCAT